TCAAGATGACAGTAGATGTTATGAGTGTTGTCATTTCCTTGTGCCACTCTTTCAAGTCTTCATGGACTTGAAGTAGCCACTACCAGTTGATTGGGATAACATCTGAGAAAATATCTGTTTGCCCTTCATGGTGTATGAGCTGACATGAACCCTATCTCTAAAGCATAATGATCTAAGATGTTTCTTAGTAGTGTATCTTCAGTGAATCTTTTTTCTTTTTAATTTCTAGTTCTTCCTCCTCAACCAGAAAAAATCAAGATTTCCAACATCACACACTCCTCTGCTGTGATTTCTTGGACAATATTGGATGGCTATTCTATTTCTTCTATTACTAGCCGTTACAAGGTTCAAGGCAAGAATGAAGACCAGCACGTTGATGTGAAGATAAAGAATGCCACCATCACTCAGTATCAGCTCAAGGGCCTAGAGCCTGGAACAGCTTACCACGTGGACATTTTTGCAGAGAACAACATAAGGTCAAGCAAACCAGCCTTTTCTCATGAACTGGTGACCCTCCCAGAATCTCCAGGTTGGTTGAATGGACAGGTGTTTACATAGGATTACCGTGCAGCCCTAGCAGCTGGTTTATCAGGACAGGCCTGTGAAATGAAAACCTATGAAAGGTCGGTGGTTGAATGGACAGGTATTTATTTACAGAGAGGTCCTTAATATCAAATGCCTCCAAGAAGGACCCCTGTTGGTCCATTTTCTATTATTAAATAGATCAGTCTATCAGCATACCCCATCCAGCAATCTAAGAAGAAAGCCCTGAGGAATGTGAACTTTAATTCTGAGGAGAAAGAAGAATGTGGGAGCTGCTTATAGAAGGCAGGCTGAGCAAGAGCTCCCGGGGAGGGCTCCAGGAACCATGTTCCATTCTTCCTCACACACTCCTCTTTTAGCTTGGATGACACTGTGCAATTCTGAGTTTCCTTCTACTTTATTGATGTAGGTTATTAGGTCTCCATGTCCACCACTAACCCCAACCCCAGAAATAGTTTGCGATTTGAGTTAGAGGTCCTCTCAGAATGCCATAGGGTGCCCAGCATTTGTGACTGATAAAATCTGTTGAGTGTAATTAAGTGAACAAAGGCCCCGTGTGGGTGGAGCTGCAGCAGGAGGATTGACTTCAAGTCTGTGCAGAGGCGCCTCCCAGATCTCTGTGTTGTGTACAGTGCGTGCTAGAGAATGTGGATAGAGGCATGTTAGAGGCAAGTTTTGATCTCTAAGCTAGTTTCCAAACCAGAACTGAACACTTGTTCATTTCACAGCCCTGTGGGGAACCCACATACAACTAACACGAGGATGGCAAACACGTGGCCTATGTACTGTTACTCTGTCCTCCCTCACCGTTTACAGACATTGCTAATCAATGAGCCTTTCCAGGGAGGCCCAGAATGGTGCCTGTGCGGCCCTGTAGACAGCTGGTTTATCAGGACAGGCTTGTGAGATGAAAACCTATTTCCCTTTCCAGCCTAGAATTAAATACACTATTTCTTTTTTTATCTGATGTGGATACCAACCAGAAGACATTATGCCCCTTTGAACTTATGAAAAATCCTGACATAAAATGATTATTAACATTTTAAACATTTAATGATTACAAACAATTATTTTGCCAGACGGAAGAACCAGCTGTGCCATTCAACTCAGGAACTCTGGCCCTAAACAGGAAGGTCAAAAGCAACCCAGATCCTAGAATTTATCCAGTGCTTGACTGGAACGACATCAAATTTCAAGATGTGATTGGGGAGGGCAATTTTGGCCAAGTTCTTAAGGCGCGGATCAAGAAGGATGGGTTACGGATGGATGCTGCCATCAAGAGAATGAAAGGTCAGTGGCTGACCAGACAGAGTCAGCATTGCATGAGGGTGTGGAGAAAGCTTGATTTCCTGCTGATTCTTTCCTCTATGGTCTTACGTTCTTTAAACATTGGCATGGTATCAGATGTAGCTGTTAGGTACATCTGAAGAGCATGCTTCCTTTGAGGTTGAGCCCGCGATAGCCAGGATATAAATACAAAGGCAGGAGCCATTTAGATATCACTGCCTTGATTCATTGGGATGTGACACTGTAGATTCTTGGTCATATGCGACGAACTTTTGGGGAGCGTGATTGTTTCTCTTAATGTAGTGCTTCTTAAAATTGAATGTGCATCAAAATCACCTGGAAGGCTTGTTTACAAACAGACTGTTGGGCCCTACCCCACAATTTCCAACTTAGTCTGAAAAGGGCCAGAGAATCTGCATTTCTCATTAGTTTTCCAGTGATGCTATCTTGTGGATTTGGGGACCACATTTTGCAAACCACAGTCTACATAGGTTAACTGTATGTAAATTTACTGTATGTAAATTCCTGGGGACACTGTTAGAAATGCATCCACTTGGGCTTCTTCCACTCCCAGTTTGACAACATCTGAATTTCTTGGGTAGCATAAGAAAATCTGTGTTCTTAAATGGCTTTCTCAATAGTTCCTCCATACACTCAAGTTTGCAGAGAAAACCATTGATTTAAGGTCATAAGAACTAAATCTTTTCCAGCTTTGTTCATCTCAAGACTGTTTGGTACCTACCCGTCTAATAATATTTGTTAATAAATATCTTCAGAGAAAGCAGAATGACTAGTTCACTGGCAAATTAGCTAGCTGTCTTCCCTTGTGTGTGAAAAGCAGTTTGGTAAGACTTGAATGTGAGGCTGCACTATTGCTTTTAGAGAATACAGGCTTGGCATGGGGTGCATTAAATCACAGAACGTGATGAGCTAGCCGTTATCATTGGGCAGCTCCATCTTAAGAGCTCTCTAAGGATGCTGGCAGATTTTTCTTTTTCTGGACACAATACTGAGCCTGTGAATTAACTCTAAATCATATTAAATCATCTCTGCTTTCTGCATTGTTAAGAACAACAAAACAAAATATTATCTATGATTAGAAACAGCAATATATTTCTTTAAAAACAATATCAACTACTTGCAAAACAGCCAGAAATCCCTTTTCTCTTTTGCTACTTTAGTCACAGGGAGTCTTGGGGAGCAGTGAGGATAGTGAGAGGAGAGGGGTGTAGAATCTTAGGAAGGCAGCTTTTATTGGGATCTGATGTGAGCCTGATTTTCTGTCTTGTGCCCATGTGAAGAGAGAAAAGAGCTTAATAAGGCACCAGGGCAGAGAAATCCTGCAGGCGAAGCTCTGCATCCAAAGAAGGGCAGTTACTGAAGTAAGCGGACAACCTCCCTGTAAAGAACTTCTTTAAAAAATTATTCCCAAGGTATTGACCTTCAGTGAGGCTTCTGCAGTCTGAACAGAGCACCTGACTTTTGGATACCCTTAGCCCCTCCTGAGACAATTGTCACAGTTTCTAAGCATGATCAGGCATGTCCATGGCCACTAGCACCCCACTCCTACCCTTGCCACCCAGTGTTGTTTTTTGAAAAACAGCATAGCTCATTGTCTCCGACACAAGATTGATCAGTTTATGTACCAAACAATAGCCTTCTCTTCAGTCTGGTCCCTGGTGATTTCTCCCTCTGGTCAGAGTGCTAGTGGAGAGACAAGGCAAGAGGAATAGAAGCAGATGCAACTCAGTTTCCTGATTCCCATGCAACTTCCATAAGACACCATTTGGATTTGATTTGTTTAGCTCAATTAACCAGATTGAGACTGATTTGTAAAACATAAGTTATAATCAATGAACAAAGATGCATGCATTACTGGTGATGTTTCATGGAAACTTTGATTCTATTCCTCAGTTGTCTCTGGATGGTAGATTTAGCTGGAAGAGCTAACATCTAAAAGATGGTACAGCTCCACCTCTACGAAGTCATTTACCTGAGGATTTGGGAGATTAAACAAGAAAACTTTAGAGTACTGGTTCTCATCCAGGGGTGGTTTTGCCTCTGGGGGCCAGACTTTTTTTGTAAAACAGATATATTTCATACTGATATAAGGAAAGATAATGCTCTTAAGAATGGTGCTTATTTTTTAAAAGTTGCATATTTTATCTGAATGTCTCTCTAGTCCCATTTATAGATTGTGCTGTGGTTTGCCATCTTTTTGGAGGTACGTACTGAGGCTGGACTATTTAGCCTCTGATGTGGTTCAGACATTACTGCCCAAAGGTATTCATGGCTCCATAAGGCATGAGAAGATGTTTTAGTCTTTAAGAAATGTGTTAAAGTATAAGTGCTTCTGGGATCTGTGATACCCTACACCAATAGTTGATAGCCTTCTTGCACGTAAGGTTCCCCTGAGGCATTTGTTCAATATGTAGACTCTTCAGCCCCACAATCAGTCATTGATTTTGCAAGTCTAGGGCAGGTTCCAGAAATCTGCATTTTAACATCATGAGTAGTTCTGAGCACAAGTGAGAAAGTGCTTGTCTTAGACCAGTGTTTCCCAAACTATGTTCACGTGTTGTGCAAGATATAAATACATGCCACAAAGGGAAAGGAGTTCTGTGGTCAATTAAGTTGGGAAACTTTGTGTTAAACCTGTTGTGTCTTAGTCATTTTCCGGCTGCTGTAACCAAATACCATAAACTTGGTGGCTTATAACCAACAGAGATGTATCTCTACAGTTCTGAAGGCTAGGACGTCCAGATCAAAGCACTGGCAGATTTGGTGGCCATGGGCCATTTCCTGGTTCATAGATGGCCGTCTTTTTGCTGTGTCCTCCTATGGCACAAGGGGCAAAAGAACCTTTAGAAGACTGTTCTGTGAGGGTGAAAATCCTCTTCATAAGGGCTCTACCCTCATGACCTAATCACCTCCCAAAGGTCCCACCTTCAAACACCATCACATGGTTTCAACACATGATTTTTGGGTGGCATAAACATTCAGTCCATAGCACCTGCCTCTTAAAGGGGAATACAATAGGTGGCATTTTACAAGTTTGGGCATGGACCCTTTAAGAGACACTAACAGTTTGGAAGATGCTGCATTCCAAGGAAAATCCTGCTCTAGACACATGCCCAGTTCTTTCTAGATGATTGGAATAGCTGAGACCAAGATCCTGCAGAAATGGTACCCAGGGTAGGAACTAAATCTATGGGAGATGAAATGGGACTTGCTTAGGGAGGTGGGAGGCCTAGTAACAACTTAGGTGCTGTACTTTTGTCTTCTGTTGGTTAAGCTTTATGACTGTGCATTGGGTGGCTTCAGTCTCTTCTCTTTTTTCCCACCAGGCCCAGGACTGAAGCATAGTTATAGAGTTAGCCCTTTAATTCTTTGCTTTCAAAGGTATGATCTAATGAGACAGTGCTGGCGGGAGAAGCCTTACGAGAGGCCATCATTTGCCAAGATATTGGTGTCCTTAAACAGAATGTTAGAGGAACGAAAGGTGAGTATGAAAGTCAGGCAGGAGATCTGTAATTGGAATTCCCGACGTGCACAGTGTGGTTCATAAATAGAACTGAAGCAGTTGAACATTTTTTTCTTGGCATGGCCTTATGTATTATAGAAACAAAGGATACCCCTCACCCCACAACTCTGAAGAAGTTACAATTTTGAGGGGAAGTAAGATTTCTAGATAAGATATAGTCACATACACACTAGAATAACATACAGAACTAGCTTTAGAGCAAGAAGAAATTTTAGTCATCTAGCCTGACCCTTTAATTTTATAGATGAAGAAACAGACTCAGAGGTGGGTAACTTGACCAAGGACACACAGCAAGTAGACAACAGAGCCCAGCCTGCAGGTTACTATGAGGAGGGTCAGGAATTCAATAAAAATTTCTAGAAGTTAGTTGGCTATACCAATCTGGGAATCAAAAGAAGAGTAAAAATAGTTTAGAGAAATAGTCATCAAAACCCAAGTGGTAATTCAACTAGAGATGCAGAAGAGATCACACAGGGAGATGTGAAGATGAGACGCAGACAGAGGAAGGAACGCTAGAGACGCTGAACACATCAGGAGGTACCAATAGGGCACCATGAGAAAGGCAAGCTCAGAAACTGAGGCTGGAGTTATGAAATCTTACTTGCAGAAGGCAAAGGGATGCATTTTAGGGAAAAAGTCATCAAATATAACAGGGACTGAGGACAGCAACATGCTGCCCAAGTACTTAGTATCTGAGTTGAAACAAACTAAGAAAACGAAGGTTTGCTGTAACTGCCACTGGCAGAGGTGGAATCGAGGCAGCCTGTGTCTCTGAACCGTTCTCATTCTTCCAGACCTACGTGAATACCACGCTTTATGAGAAGTTTACTTATGCAGGAATTGACTGCTCTGCTGAAGAAGCGGCTTAAGACAGAACATCTGTATACCCTCTGTGTCTGATTCACTGGCCTGGGAGACCCTTGACAGCTGCTGGGAAACCATGCTTCTGTCAAGAGATGTGACATAGACGTGTACATATGTGCTGTACACCTGGGACCTTCACCACTATAGATCCCACACATGGATCTCTGTAGTATGTGCTGACTCTAATAGGACTGTATATACTGTCTTGAGGAAGAATGTGCTGAAATCAGAATGCCTGTATGAGGTTTCAGGTCCATTTTTTTAAATGTGGACTTCATAGGAAGGTGTGATTACAATTACTGTAATGCATAACTCATTATTGTCCTAGATATCTTGATATTTACCTTTATAATGAATGCTAGTAAGTGTTTTGCTGTGTCAAAGTAAAATATTGTTAATAAACCTAACAATGACCCTGATAGCACAGGTTAAGTGAGAGAAAGATATGAATTCTAACAAGACATAGGTTAATATTTAAGAGACTGAGCAATCTAAGTGATATAAATCAGATTCCTCTCTCTCTCTCTCAGTCACTCTCACCTGTAGCAGCCGGTCTCATTTCATCTAGTCATGTGACAATTCTGTCTTCTGTTTCCACAGCCTGCAAGTCAGTCCAGAATGCTAATATCTAAAGACAGACTTAAAGCTTGTTCCTTACAAGCCTAAGAATCTTTAGAGAAGAATACATACGTTTAAGATAAAATAATGGAATTTTCTTTTCTCTGGTAATAGTGACTTGCATATTTTAAGAAATAATAAAACAGAAATCCAGGGTGAGATTTGGGAGGCATGTGACATTTATATATGGAATTAATATCCCTACATGTATTGCACATTGTAAAAAGTTTTAGTTTTGATGAGTTGCGAGTTTACCTTGTATACTGTAGGCACACTTTGCACTGATATCATGAGTGAATAAATGTCGTGCCTATTCACAGGAGTGTGTCTCACAGCTGTTGCCACATGTCTTTATTATACTTGAAAGAAAAATGCTTTAGATGATCCATCCCTAGCACATAGAGTAGTTGGCGAGTATACTTCACCAGACACAGAGTCTGAAGCTCAGCAGATTGAAGGTCTCCTCGAAGCGTTCTACTGTAAAGCTCATCTTCTTGCAACAGGCAGTACACCTCTGGAAGTGCTCCAGTGGGAACCAAGGGCTCACAGCTGGAATTCCTTTTAACTGTGTTACAATGTTAATTAAAGTCCTCACTTAATGTCATTGATAGGTTCGTGGAAACTGCAGTACTACATAATGAAACCAATTTTACCACAGGGTAACTGATAGAAACAGAAGTTTCTATAGCATGCAGTACATCATTTCACTTAAGTCAGTTTCCAAGAATCTATTGAAAACACTAAGGACATACTGTAGTTCTACATGCTTCACAGACTTCTATATTCCTGCCATCTTGAAGTTACGTGTTCAGAAATTATAACTAGGCAACTGAATTCAACCTGAACACTATTCACAACAGCATATTCAAGCAAAGACACAGAGCAAAATCAGGGCTGCTCACATAACATTTAATCAACTAAATGGAAACACGAATGAAAAGCCATTGAAATATAGGTCCAGCATGTCATCAACAAGAGGGCAGACTAGTAGATACCAGCCTTTATCTTCCCACACACAAAAATAAAAATAGAGGCAACTACTCACATACCAAAACACCCAGAGGGAGTGCAAGGGCCTGTTATAGGATCTGCAGCAATACAGTGGGGCACAATAACGGAGAACACCCACATAGAAAAGATTGTGATCAGCTTACCTAATACACCAGGAGATGTCTAGGAACAAGGAAGAAAGGTGGAGGCCTGGGTATGAGCCACCCAGCAGAACTACTGTGGTCACCAGTGACCTGCTCTGCAGTCTTGTCACTGGGGTGTTAAAGAGCCATTCCCACTGGGGAACCCTAGAAAGGGAAATACAGTTGCACATCCCTAACAACCCCCACCCCTAGAAGTGGCTGCTGTTGAGCCACCTGGAGAAAGGAGCCACTTTTTCTCCTAACCCTCAATCTTGGAGCCGCAGCTACTTCATAAGAACCCACACGCTCCAGTCTCAGGCTCTGTGGCTGCATTGGGCCTACCCATGTCTCAGACACTGGAGCCACTGCCATAGTAAGCTAGTTTGTACTCTGGGCCCTAGAGCCCATACTCCGCACACTGATTCAGCCACATGGATAACTAGGCTTCATCCTAACCCGAGAGCCACACTAACTCTGTGTACACCTGTGCTTCCATTCTTGGTTTCCTGGCTACTTCACAAACATTTGTAGCTCAAAGCTACTACCAACATGACAGACAGGGTGCCTGTGCCTCAAGCCACCAGCTCAGGCACTGTAGAGAAGCAGGCCCTGACCTAACTCTGGAGCTTCTCCAACACTGTGCATGTCTGTGCTCCCATTCTTAGTTCTACCAGCTGCTCCAGGAGCATCTATGGCTTCCATACTGTTACTCTAGGAGGGATGCCTGTGCCCCAGGCACCAGTGCTATTAATTCCCAGATCTCATAGCGACAGCCCCTCCACGTGTTCTCATGCTTCAGGCCTCAGCTTCATGGCTGCTCCACAGGTACCAAATACTGGTACTATCACCACTGCAAGAGAGTCCATAAGCCAGACCCAGTGCCAAGACAAACCCTGCCCACCCCAGCTATAACTTTCCTAGTGGGAGAAAAGAGATCAGAAGGACCTCCAGCCATTGTCTCTGAAGATTTCAACAACCCTTGCTGCCACTGTAGATATCCACAGTGTTGACCACTGAGGATCTCTGCCACCTTCGTCAGCACCAATCTCTCCTGACAGAGCTGGTGCCAGAACCACTGCACCTCAGTAAGCAAATGGTCTTTTTTTTTTTTTTTTTTTTTTTTTGAGACGGAGTTTTGCTCGTTACCCAGGCTGGAGTGCAATGGCACGATCTCGGCTCACGGCAACCTCCGCCTCCTAGGTTCGGGCAATTCTCCTGCCTCAGCCTCCCGAGTAGCTGGGATTACAGGCGCGTGCCACCATGCCCAGCTAATTTTTTGTATTTTTAGTAGAGACGGGGTTTCACCATGTTGACCAGGATGGTCTCGATCTCTTGACCTCGTGATCCACCTGCCTCGGCCTCCCAAAGTGCTGGGATTACAGGCTTGAGCCACCGCACCTGGCCAGCAAATGGTCTTATATTCCATGGAGATGAAGGTCTTTCCACAGCAAAACTAGCCCATGAGTTCTGCAAAATGTGACTGCCCCACCAGATGCACAGATATCAACATAAGCAACAAGAAAAACCAGACACATCACCACCAAAAGAGCAAAAGAATCCAGTAGCTAACCCCAAAGAAATATGCAAACTGTCTGATAAAGAATTCAAAAGAATTGTTTTAAGAAAGCTCAGCAAACTTCAAGAGTATTCAGAGAATTCAATAAAACCATGGAAACAGTAAACAATCAAAATGAGAAATTTAACAAACTGAAATTATATTTAAAAACCCCAACATTCTGGAGCTGAAAAATAAATGAAAAATAAATAGACAACATCAGCAACAGAATTGATCCAGCAGAAGAATCTGTGAACTCAAATATGTGATTTGAAATATGTGGTCATGGGGTGGGGAACGGGGAAGGATAAAAAGTAATGAAGAAAGTGTATGGAATTTGTGAGAAAGCATCAAAAGAGCACATGTTTGAGTTATAAGAGTTCAAGAAGCAGAAGATAGAAAGCTTATTTGGAGAAATAAATGCATAAAACTTTCCAAATCTGGGGAAAGATAAGTATTTAGGTACAGGAAGGTCAAAAGTCTCTAAACAGATTCAATCCAAATAATGTTACAGCAAGATATATTAATAATCAAATTGTCAAAAAAAATGTTTCCTGAAAGCAGCAAGGAGAAAGAAGATTAACATATATTGGAGTTCCAATAAGGCTAGCAGCCAATTTCTTAGCAGAAATGTTACAGGCCAGGAGAGAGTGGAATGATACAGTCAAAGTTCTGAATAGAAAATAATATCAACCAAGAATCCTGTATCTGGTAAGACTGTCCTTCAGAAATGAATAAAGACTTTCCCAGACAAAAACTGAAAGATTTCATTACCACTGTATCTGACATGCTAAAGGGAGTTCTTCAAGCTGAATGAAAAGAATGCTAATTTAGTAACATGAACATATGAAAGTCATTGGTAAAATTTATAACAAATTCCTAATAATACTATGTGGTGTGTAAATCATCTTTAGTATTAGTGTTAAAATGAAAAACTATCACAAATAATAGCTACAATCACTTGTTAAGGGATCTGCAACATAAAATATATAAATTGTGACATCAAAAAATGTTGAGGGGAGAAGAAAAGTGTAGTTACTTTATTCAATCAAAATTAAGTTGTTATCAGCTTAGTCTATTATACTATAAGATATTTTATATAAGCCTCCTGGTAACCACTAGCAAAAATCTACACAAGATACACAGAAGATAAAAATATAGGAATCAAAGTACATACCATTAGAGAAAAATCATCTAAAGGAAAAAAGGAAGAACAAACAGAAAATGAACAAAATGGCAACAGTAAGTCCTTACATATCAATACTTACCTTGAATGTAAATGTTAAATTCTCCAACCAAAAAACATAGATGGGTCTTATTTTTTTATTCAGCCAAATTATATGCTGCCTACAGAGACTCACTTCACTTTTAAAGGTACACACAGAATAAGAGTGTAAGAATAGAAAAAGATATTTCATGCAAATAGAAACAGAAAGAGAACAAAGGTATCTATATTTATATTCTGTAAAATGGACTTTATGCCAAAAACTGTGAAACAAGACAAACAAGGCCACTATATAATAAAAGATCAATTTATCAAGTATATAATAACTATAAATATATATGCACCCAATGTCAGAGCATCTTAAATACATAAAGGAAACATTAATAGATCTGAAGGGATAGATATATTATAGAAATAAGAAAAATCCTAAGTGACTTATATGAACTATATGCCAACAAATTGAATAATCTAGAAGAAACTGATACATTTCTAGATATATACAATTTACCAAGGCTGAATCATTAATAAATAGAAAGCCTAAGCAGACCAATAACCAGTAAGAAGATTATGAGTCAGTAATAAGACTCCCATGAAAGAAAAGCCTGAAACCTGATGGCTTCAATGGTGAACTCTATCAAACATTTAAGGAAGAAATAATACCAATTCTTCTCAAATGCTTTCAAGAAAACTGAAAAGGAAGGAAAACTTCAATGTTCATTTTATGATGCCAAAATCGGGCAAGGACACTTCAAGAAAATAAAATTATAGGCTAATATTCCTGGTGAACACAGGTGCAAAAATCTTCAACAAAAACTAGCAAACCAAATTCAACAGCACATTAAAAGGATGATTCACCATAATTAAGGGCGATTTATCCCTAGGTTGCAAGGATAGGTCAATATACACAAATCAATAAATGTGATACATAGCATTAATAGAAAGAAGTGCAAAAACCATATGATGATCTCAATACATGTAGAAAAACCATGTAACAAAATCTTGTCATGATAAAAATTCTCAACAAATCTGGTATAAAAAGGAATGTACCTTAACCCTGCAAATACCATATAGGATAATCCCCTAGCTAACATTATACTCAGTGGTGAAGAGTTGAAAATTTTTTTCTCTAAGATCAGGAACAAGATCACGATGCCACTCTTGCTACTTCTATTGAACCTAATCCTGGGAGTCCTAGCCAAAGCAATTAACCAAGAGAAGGAAAGAAAATGCAACCAGTTCTGAAAGGAAGAAGTTAAATTGTCTGTTTGCAAACAATATGATCTTATATATAGAAAACTCTAAAGACTCTACCAAAAATAATCCTGTTAGAATAAATACATTCAGAAAAGCTGCAGGATACAAAACCAACCTACAAAAACAAGAGGTGTATCTATTCACTAACAAACTATCTGTAAAATC